AGTGCGAAAAAATAGGAGACGCTTACAGTGATCATTTTGAAAATACAGTTGAAAACTGTTCGAATGCAAAATGATTGACAATAGGCCAGGAGTAGTATCATGAAAACAATGATGCAAAGAGAAATTATAACGATTACTGTGACTAGTTTGTGTAAGCCTAATTGTTCTAGTATTTTCTTTTTCTGTGATTGAATAATGTGTCCGGCATTAGATTCGAGGTATGATATAGATTGAGAAAGCTCATTTTGTATTTCGGAGGTTAAATCAGTAGTATCTGATGAAGTAATATGGCCAGGGACAGAGTATGATCCGGCAGTTAGATGATTTTTGATTAGATAAATATCGGTAGTAATTCGAGCAAGATCTGAATGAAAGATTGGTGGAGCTTTAAAAATGATGTCTTGGCTTGTGAAACCAGTGGGTAAATTTAGGTGAATGTTAGATACTTGAGTGTAACCTGCAGATGATTTATAGTGATTGTTGCCATCATTATAGATACCAAATGGAAGATGGTGACAATCGGTAGGTGGACTGGATTTTATGAGATCGCGTGTCCCTGGTTGAATAAAGTAATAGTCTTTCCCTGCGCGGACAGGTGTAAATGCGTAACATGTACCTTTTATATTGTGGTCAGTTAGAATTTCATCAATTGTAATGTCTTTGCATTTGGAAACCATTAAAACATCCCCTGCTAAAAGAGCGAAAATGTCATCGCGGTTTAGTAGCATTCGGGCGGCGCTAGTTGGGTTGAGTAGGGCCATACTTTTTATTGTTTGTATCTTGAAGTTTGTAAGAGAGCAAATTCGGTCTAACAAAAAGTTGAAGTCTTGTTGTAAAGTTTCTTCAATTTTTGTTTTCAGAAATTGCATCTTAGTGTTGAGTTCTGCGTGACGATGATCTTGGCGTTGCTCATGACCCAATTCTGGGTCATTGTTCATTGTAGTAAAGTCTGGTTCTAGATTGGTAGCTATATGTTGTGCTATCTTACTTGAGATGTTCGATTTGATTTTCTCAAGCGAGGACTGCTTAGGTTCCAAAACCGAGTATCTGGGTTTATGTAATAAATGAGTTAACGCTTTGTAATTATGAGTACTGACTGCTGCTTGTTTGTTAGCCTTTTGCCCCATGAGCTGATAGAATTCCACTGGGATGGGTTTGTTGTTAAGAGATTGGGATGCCCAGTGGTATAGCATTTTGAGGCTACCATTATTAGTATCGTGTGGTGGGTGCGAACCGTCTTGTACAGCGAAACGAGCGGTTCGTGGTAGAGGTTCCTCGTCATCGAACTTGGCTCGGCGAATGTTATTAATCGTGTCAATAAATTGGATAAGGCGCGAATTGTGGAAATGTTGTTTATTTATGGTGTGCACAACTTCTGGTCGGTCAGAGAAGACTGTGCGTGGATTGTTATCCTGGAGTTCTGGTAAATCTATAAAAACACCATTATCCATAGCTATTGCATTACCGTTCAGACACCATGCCCTTTTTTGAGGCATAGAGTAGGAAACATTTTTGTAAGTGAAAGCGGATTGAATGTCATTAAGTAATATGTGAGTCGGAGTCACGTACGCTATTCCCTGAGCAGCTCTGACATAGCGGCATAGAGGAAGAGAAGATGGTGGCTTGTCCCAAATAACAGTGCCGTGACTAAGATGGCAACTTGTGGAATCAATGTTACAGTGGGTCATATCGCCAAACTGTCCTATTAAATGTTTCCCGTCAAACGTTGCAATACTCCCTTTTTCGAAGTAAATGTTGGTGGTACTGGTACATTTTTCACCGAAGAACCATGGGTATGAGTAATGAATTTGGTTTTCAGAGCCATACACGTTAGGAGATAGAGCTGTAAGAGGAACGTTATTGAATTTTTTAGTAGTCGTTATAGAGCGGCATAAAGAAGGGTCGATTGGCGTCATCGATTCTTCGTCGCTATCGACCGAGAAAGATATGTGAAGATATGATGAGGCGCATATTTTTCTGGTTCGATTAAAACAATGGTATGATGTCATAAGAAGTGGTTCAGTGCGTTCAACATAGACGTTCGCTGCTGTTATGAGTATGTTGGATGCATTAGTAGTAGTGACGCATGTTAAGGGATCCGGAAAAGCGATGGGCCAGCCAGATTTACCGGCTGCGCATAGTTGGTATTTGAGAGAAAAGGAGGCTGTAGGTGCAATTAAAGTTGCAATAATCGCGAGAACAAATAGAGAATTTAGTGTATTGAATGAAAAGGGAAGGGTTCTCGTAGTAATAGAGTTCACTTGAGGGCGTCGTGGTGAGTGAGGACGTTTACGTTGATTTCTGAAAGGTGGGTTAAAACGATGGTTGATTGGTCTGGGGTAGGGTGATGTGAATCGTGGATTATTTGATAGATGTTTGCGATGTTTATGTTTGTTAATGGGAGCAAATCGTACTTTATGTCGAGGTGGGGTTTGATTGCGTGAGCGGAACTGTTGCTTGTTACGAGGAAAATTGGGTGTAAAGTGGGGACGCCAGTTGGAATTAGAGTTTTGTCTGGTGTTACGATTACGTGAAAATGAGGAAGAGCGGGGTCGTTGTTGGGATGGGGTTAGAGCATTTATAACTTTATCAATTTTGGCTATTAAGAGATTACCTGATGAGCTGCTATCGGCGTTAAGCAGATTCCATGTTCTTTCAGCATCGCGCACCAATTGGTCGTAGTTGGGTGATAGTGGACCGAGAATTTTGAGGCGTTGTTTGATTGGGTCAGAAAGCGCATTGGTGAAAATCATGTGCTGCAAAAATTGTCGTTTGTCAGCGAAATGTGGGTGAGGATAGGCGTCTAGAATTTCTTTTCGTAGTCTACTCGAGAAGACTACGGGGGATTCCCCTGGTTCCATTTTCATCTCTATAATCTTTTCGCGTGCTCTGTCGAGAAAATGGTCTGTGGAGAAATGTTCTTTAAGCTTGATGGTAGCTGTACGCCAGTTTTGTTTTTCTAAATCAGTGAAACCTTCAAACACCGCCTTCGCAGTTCCTTTCAGATGAGCTGGTAAGAGACGAACCATTTTGTTGTCGGTGAGACCCATGATATTGGCTATTTCATTAAATTTTTCTAAGAAATGCATTAGGCCTGCACCTCCCTTATCCCCTGCAAATGTTGGCAGCTTGGTTGCGTAAGATGATAGACAGAGTTTGTCAAAAGCAGTGTCAAGTCTGTCAACGACTTGGTTGTCAGTTATGTCCATGTTTTCGTTTTGAGAATTTGGGTTATTGTCGACGAAATGTACCAGGGGAGGAAGGGGTGTGGAGAGTGGGTCAGTAAGAAATGGGTCGTCAGACGTAGGGATAGTATGAGAGGGTTGATCTGGAAGAGGTTGCTCCAGATAAAGATGCGGTGGGATAGTGTTATCCACGGAAATTGGGTCACTATCAATGAAATGTACCAATCGAGGGAGAGGTGTGGAGAATGGATCAGTGAAGGATGGGTCGTCTAGGAGTGGAGTAGTGTGAGAGGGTTGGTCCGGGATGAGTTGTTCTGGATGAGGTTGTGTTGGGATATTTTTATGTACGAAAATTTGTCGATTATCACTTAGAACTACTTGCTTGTAATTTCTATGGACAACGGTAGAACGAATATAAGTTGGGTTAATTTGTATGTTAATTTGACGAGTGGTTGGATCCTCAGTAGCTACAAAAGGTTGAGAACCGGTTGCGTAATTTGTACCTTGAGATGGTTCGCTGGTTATGTGTGCTGTTCCGTCGGGCCTAATAGAAAGGAAACGAGAGGGGTTACTTTGTTGTAGAGATTCCTCAGAAGAGCTAGAGTCTGGAAGGGGTACGTAAACGCTTGGATCTGGTGGTTCAGATTGTGCGCGTAAACGTTCAGTGGGTACTGGAGCAGAACCGGAGGGAGGAGAAGTAGAGGGGGAGACTTGTACCTCCGAGTGGCTTTTGGTTCGTTTTCGCTGAGGTGTGTGGGGTAAGAAAGCGTTGGTTCTACGTTTAATAGAAAATCTATTGGCCACACGTCGGTAAAGAGGGAGTCTTTCTGTGCTGTTGAGTAATTCGATATTCAAATTACTCATAGAAGAGGAAAAGAACTAGAATGATAATGTTGTACACTGCAACGAAATGTGCTAAGAAAAGTGAATGAGAGGAGAGTTAGGTATGTAAATAGTAATAAAAAGAACTCACGCTGACCAGTGAGGTTTGGTTGGAAGAACTTACGAGGATCAGTGGAGTGATATGTTGATTGAATTGTGGTTGGAGTCGGAGTGGTTGGCTGGAGCGAAGTGGACCGTCTTCGATGAAGAAGAGGAGTGTGGGGTAGTTAGGATCCATGGTGGTTTATATAGTAGCGGATATCATTGAAGAAAATATCCCTTACAGTGTAACATCCGGTTTTCGTTTTAATTTTAGTACGAATTCGTATAGTAGTTGCTTGTTTCACAAGCTTTTAGTACACTAGTCCGGCGGGGTGGATTACGGTAGGCGCAACACGGCTGTCATTAGTGAGTGATTATTGGCCGTTGATTTTGCACCGTAGTGTGTGGAAAGG